GAGGTATGCATGTGGGGTGAACATATTGACGCGTCTGATATTGAACAAACCATATGGCCGCGTGCTGCAGCAGCTGCAGGTACTTCTTTTGAAACCTTCTGTTGCTATATATTTAACGCCCGTCTTTTCCATAGTAATATTGTTTACTTCACCTTGCTACTACCTTAGGTTTAATATAAGGATTGATAAATTAGTTGTCATTCTATTGACATCTCTCAATGAATGGGTTTGAAACTTTATACTAATGTTGCACTGGAATAGTCTACGTAAACTCTGAATGGCACAAGAAAAATTCCCTCTTACCAGATTTGGATATTAGGCTAGTCTTCATAAAATTCTGCACCAAATTATCTCAAATAACAGTTTCTTCATCTGTATTTACTTGCGCGATTCTTAATTATTAATAAACTTACTATTCCTTTCGTTTTGTCTCTGATGTGCTTGTGGGATGTAGAGAGGTTATGGACTCCTTACAACAATCTACCTAAGGATCCAGCACAAGTTGCAGGCAGATTAGCGCATTTTAGGTGTCTTCTGAATCAAAGAGGAGTAGCTGCCGCACCATTGGCTGGTCCTGGTCGAGCAGCCCCAGAAGAGCCTGGTTCCTGTCATATGCAATAGTGGCTGAAGCAGAATCCTGGTTTAGCTTGAACATATGATTATTGGTTCAGCATCCCACTCCCCAATTATACATCAATTTGTGAGTGCTGAAAAACTCGAACAGTATGTATTTTATATTCTGAAAAGGGTTAAATAATAATAATAATAGTGCCTTATGTTTCTTTTCAGCTCTTCATTTTCTACCCGAATGAATAGCCATGTCATTGTCTGATAAAATACTAAAACAAAACCTGTAACGCTAGTCACTACTCCCATTGGGGTTAGGAAGTAAGCCACACAACCCAAAGCATTGTGGGTCAACCTGATGGTGCATTGACGTCTTGAATGATCGGGAGCCTTGATCCAAGTCATCATCAGTTTACCAGTTTGCTAAAACCCCCCCATAACCAATTGAATGGTTGGATAGCCACCCAAGGGTTCGCTATACTTCCTGTTTTTGACAAGAATATTGTTGGTATGTGCATTATATGCTTTCGTTACTCTTTAGGAGGCATCTGTTTTGGACAAGATCTACTGAACACCAGATACAACATGGTAGAGCTCCGAAACTAAAATCTAAGTACTTCGAACATGCAAAATTTATTGAGATAGAAACAGTTATAAACCTTGACTGGAGTTACAATATGATATACTGCATGTCTCAATTTATACATAGACCCTAACGAAATCTCATAATACAGGTGGAGACTATTCGACCCTTTTCTTCATTGTTAAATTTATTACAATACTGGGTGGATGCTCTAATTGACCCTAACGAAATTAAACAATTTATGCTAAACCTTACAAAATATCATCGATAAAATTATCTCATGCTGGAGACTCTTATCGCAGTCCGGGTGAGGAGCCTCTAGCCAAGTATTGTAGATGCTATCAATTATACCATGACACTATTGAGTGCACGAGTCTAAAGGCGACGATCGGAGATGTCATAGTGGAGAGGGACCGAATCCGATATGCTGATGTGAGGCAGTTGGACATAGGGTCATACAATCCCCATTCTCAATGAGGATGCCCCTGACAGACTCAGAATCAATGGCCCCTCTCAGGAAGTTGGAGGACCAATCCTAGAAATTTAAACCATCTTCACAGGTCCTTGCGTGGTGGATGGTTGTTGTGAATATTTTATATCATGTGTGCAATTTCATGAAAAACTAATATAGTGGATCTAAGAGTTCGAATTATTATTTTTCACATACTATTATTTAATTGTTGATTTATTATTCCTAACTCCTACTTGAGTTAAAAAATAAATAAATATGATTCAATTATTTTTTAAATATATTATTTATACTATATTGATCTAAAAGTGCTTAATTAACTAAAAGGATAATCAGCACAAAATGTCCTTAACTTTCAATATTACTGTGTAAAATGTCCATACTTTTCATTTTTTGACATTTTGACATTAGTTTTTTATTGCAGAAATCATCATTTTCATGTGATTTTTGTTTTCTTAATTATTTATTTTAAATTTATTTGAACTTTTAAAAAATTTTTGGAGTATAGTTGCAATTTTTTATTTATTTTTTTCTTCTTTATTTTTGTCTATTTAGTGCACGTTTGGCTCCCTATAAAGTTTTAAGTTGTTTGCTACAATATTATTCTCCACCATACATTCATACAATAAAATATTCTTCACACAAACTAATAAAGTTTCTTTATTTTTTAATCAAACATTCTCCAAAAAATACTATTCAAAACTCTTTAATTTCCTAAATAATGGGAAACGAACAAGGGCTTAAAGAGGAATGTATATTTTTCATTTTGCAAGTTTTAATTGAGAAAGTAGATGAAAATAATGATTTTCGCAATGAAATGTGAAATAAGGGTTAAAATGTCAAAAAATAAAAGGTGTGGACGTTTTGTATTATAATATTAAAAGGTAGGAACATTTTGAGCTAATCACCTTTTTAATAATTTATTTAAATTCATTTGCACTTTTTAAAAAAAGATTGGGAGTATAATTGCAATTAGGTGGATGATTTTTGTAATAAAATGTGAAGAAAAGGGTGAAAATACCAAAAAATAAAAGATATGGACATTTTGCACAATAACATTGAAAGGTAAAGACGTTTTGTACTAATTTCACTTAACTAAAATTAGTGGGGTTTTTATTTTTTATTTTATTTTTTTAAACATATGATTGGAGAATATTAGGGTTAGCAATTTCGCCTTAACTATTACCTTTAATCTCACCTCTCTCAATTCTGAATTTACGTTGTAATTGGTTAACTTCTTAGTCAGTCAATATACTTTTGTCAAGTTCAAACTAATCCTATCTAAGTTAATTCAACATATTTCTACGTGATATGAATAAGCCTCAAATTGAAGCATTCAAGCTCCTAAGAATTCAATAACAACCATGGCAACTATAAAAGAATGTCTTTATCCTTTTATCGAAATTATCGAATTTTACTATGTGGTCTAAATTTTTATCTACCTATTGCATTGTTAAATTCACTATTTTCTTTAGGAAATCGATTTAGCTGGGCTGGCACAAGTGGGAAAAACTTTTTTGGACTAGATACAGGAATATGAAGATGAGAGGAAATGGGCTCCAAATTTTATAATTCAATGCAATAACGGCCAATTATCATATATAGCCTTATGTTATGAGAAAAAGAGAAGAGAGAATAAAAGTTGGTAGATTTGTGTATGTTATGATGAGAACCAAAGTCTCATATTTATAAGGAAAGATTAAGGATACAATGGTAATAAATTTTAAGGCTGAAGGTGTACAATTGTAATTTACTAATAGACTTATCATTTATAACACTTCTCCTTGAACGACATTACAAAATATCTGTCTTATTAAAACTTTGTTTCATAAATTTCCAATAGGACAAAAAATCAAATGAAGGAAAAATAGTAAAGTTATTTTGGAGTATTAAAAATAAATGCTACATCATTAAAACCTTGCTGGGAAAACCAGTGTGGTAATATCTAAACAAAAGCAAAAAAGTACAATTATTCCCCTTGATGTCGATCCTTGAAAATATTTGAGTCGATGCATTCTAATCTTGTGAATCAATTTCTTGAATATAGATGTTAGCAATACTTTTGTGAATAAATCGGCTACACTATCATCTGAACAAATTTATTGAACATTGATGTCGCCATTCTTCTAAAGCTCATGTGTTTGAAAGAATTTTGGATAAATATGCTTCGTTATGTCACATTTGATATAGCATTCTCTAAGTTGTGCAATACAAGCTGTATTGGCTTTATACAAAATTGTTGGACTATGTTTTGTTGAAATTAATCTGTATGATGTTTGAATATGAAAAGTCATGTTCCTTAATCATACGTATTTTGGACCTACTTCATAAATTGCAATAATTTCAGAATAATTTGAGAATGTTGCTGTTAAAGATTGTTTCACAAATCTCTATTATATATTTGTTCCTCTAAATGTAAACATATATATCCTGATTGTGATTTATCTTCATGTAGATTAGACAGATAACCCACATCTGCAGATCCTACTAAAGTAGATCTCGATTTTTTAAAATAAAATAATCCCAAATAAACAATACCTTTTAGGTATCGAAAAATATTTTAAACATCATTTCAATATCTTTGAGTTGGTGTAGAGCTATATCTTGCAAAAGAATTTCAAGAAAAAATTATGTCAGGTTGAGTTCAGTTTGCAAGGTAAGTTAATACTTCAACTGTACTAAAATATGATATGTCAAGAGCAAGAATCTTTTTTACATCTTCAAGCGGACAAATGGATTTTTTTCACATCAAATTATTAAACAATAATAGGTGATGTCAATGGATGTTCATTAGTCATAAAACAATGTTTTAAAAATGTATATGTAAATTGATAAATAAATAATCCTTCTGAAAAGTGCTCAATTTGCAACCCGAGACAAAATTTGATTTTTCCCAAATTTTTCATCTCAAATTCATTTTCTAATAATTTGATGTTTTGTTGAGCTTTTCAAGAGTTTCAATTAAATTTAAATCATCAATGTAAATCGCCACAATTTCTTTATGAAAACACATGGGCAGATATTATTATTTTTATAACCCTTTTTAATAAATATTTGCTAAGGTGATTATACCACATGTGCTCAAACTTGTTTCAGTTCATTTAATAATCTTTGAAATTTAATTGAGAACATGATTTTATGAAATATATAATTTGTCATTGACACTTTAAGTCCTTCGATGACTTTCATATATATATATATATATGTCATTGTCAAGTGAACCATATAAATAGATAGTTATTACATTTATAAAGCACATATCGAGCCTTTATGACATAGTTAAACTACTTAAAAACCTAAAAGTAATGGTGTCTATTATGGAATAATATGTTTTTTCATAATCAATTCCTGATCTTTGCGAGAAGCCATGAGTTACAAGTCAGGATTTGAATTTTATAATTCCATATTTTCTTTTCTTTTCTTTCGTACAAAATTCCATTTGTATTCTATAGGAATTACATTTTCAGGTGTTTAAACTATATGTCCAAACACTTTTAGTTTTTCTAAAGAACTCAATTCCACTTGGTGTTTTTTTTTTTTTTTTTTTTTAATGATTAATCAACTTTTTCTAGTGTTACTTCTTTCAAAATTTTTGGTTGGTTTTTCTCTTGTACTTTTCCTTTTTGAATATAGAGTCTTTTGAACCAAGTAATTGACTATGCTTCTAACATATTTGAGATTCATTTGCCACAGAATATTATCCTACGCGGCCATCAATTTTTGATGGAATATATAACTATCGCCCTTCTTTTGTTAACAAATACATTAGGTAATTCTTTTTAAAATTTTTGCAAATGAATAGTTTTTTCAACATCCTGCTCAAATTAATTACCACAGGGATCAAAGTGAGATAGTAATGTTTCATTACAAGAAATTTTACCTTATTTTTCATGATATAGTTTTTCCATCTCAAAGTTGAAAAAGTCATTTTATTAAAATGATAATCTACAGTAAATAAATCATCTGTGACAAGTTTAATGTACCTAATAATAGAGTGAATGACCCAAATGATCATTGAACTTTGTAAAAAGTTTTTACGGGATCACTGAACTTTAAAAATCACCAAATTCATCATTGAACTTTGCAAAATATTTTCCTTGGGTCACTAAATTTGACCCTATGGAAACTTTTTGTAAAGTTCAATGATGAATTGGATGATTTTTAAAGTC